TAATCTGATTTATTTTTTATAATTAATATATAGAATGACTACTTGATGTGAAAAATTTAAAGAATTAGTGTTGGTAACATGTGATGTCCAATAAGCTAAGTGATCAATAGTTGATATATATAAAAATTTCATTTGATAAATGTAAGAACTCTTTAATAATAGAATTTGTAACTTTATAAAAAGATAATATAAAAATATTATAAAAAAAGATACTCTAAAAATAATATATGCAGTAAAGAATTAGAAAGTTGGGAACTTTTAACTTAAAAAATTTATCATTTATAAAGATAAAAAATTAAAATATAATTTAATTTTTATGATATTTTAAATTATATTTTATTTAAAATAATATATATTAAATTAATATAAAATATTAAAAAATCTACGTGAGATCTTAAAAAATCTTTAGCAAGGGCTGGCCCTGGCCCATTAAAAATAAAAAATGAATACAAATCCAATAATATCAAACTTGAGGCACTCTCTCCGGCTTAAGCTCACAAGGTGCTAGGCATGCAACACTCACGTTGAGTGCACAGTCTGCATGGGCACTCGAGCCACTTGCTCGAGTTCATGCTTCATGGGGAGCTGAGCCCGGGCAGTTGCATAAACCTATACTTTTTAGGTGTTGGGATTGGGTTGTCAGCCTGTTTTTATTGGATCTATTATATTTAAAGCTTGGCATACAAAGACTGAGTTTTGAATCTACTGTGGTAGAATTTTTTAGATCAATTTTGATGGTTTTTTAGATATATCAGAAAGCAACACATCGATCACAAGCTCTGTGGGTTGGTACTAGTTCGACCGCGGTTGAAGATGGGAATTTACATACTGAAGCAATTCTTCCTGCTTCACCTGGAACCAGAAAGGGAAAAAAAATTGCCAACAAGAAATCTTCACATTGAAGCTTATATGGAATAGAAATTTCAAGCGTATATGCTGGATGCAGCCACAACAGTCAAAGCAATTCCTCCTGCGCACCTAAATATGTATTTCATTATTTAACACCAAGAAAGTCATTTTAAGTTGAGCCCAGATTTATTTTTTTTTTATGTTAGGTTTGGGCTACCATGCCCGAGTTTATTTTTTAAACTCCATTATATTTTGGGTTTGAAATACTAATCATGAGCCTAATAAATATTTTATTAGATTTTATTTTAAAGTTTTGATTCATTTTATTTAGATAATGTTGAGCCTTGATCGTAAGCTGTGTGGGCTGGATTGGAATTTGTTCGACCATGGTTGAAGTTGATAGGAATTTTCAAACACTAGCCCGGCTCGAGCCCATGCATTGCTTCTCGGTAAAGGCAGACAGACGCTGGAATTTTTCTCCCCCCCTCCTTGTCAATAACATCCATATGCATGCAAGTGAGGGCAGCTATAATGTTAAAAGCCGAATTACCCATAACCAAAGCCTACCCTTCTCCCTCCTCCCACTGCATGGCAAAAAAAAAAAAAGCACAGATAATAGAGTGTAACCTTCACACAACAACTTATGCACAAATAACTAGTTTCGGTAACCACGCATCGAATTAAAATTTGAACTACCACATTCCATAAAAGAATTTCACTAAATTTGTGTCTCATGTAGCTACTACATATATTTTTCTTCTTCTTCTTCTTCTTTTCATTGTTGATTTAAATGATAAATGAGTTTGTTCTCTAGGTTATTATTTTAGACTGAATTTGATAAAGAAAACAGGAATTTTTTTTACACAGGTATCATATTAATAGTTTTTGCAAAAATTATTTGAATTGATACAAATGGTTTGTTTTTGTGTTTTAAAAATATTTTTAAAAAAAGTAAAAAAATTTGGTTTGTTTTAAATTAATATTCTTTTAATGTTTTTAAATTATTTTGATATATTGATATTAAAAATATTTTTTAAAAAAATAAAAATATTATTTTAATGTAAATTTAAATAAAAAATATTTTAAAAAACAAATAAATTTAGAATAAAAATCTTTCTCGGTTTTCTCCCCAAACTGTACTAGAAAGCAGGACATATTGGAAGCTAACCCAATGCCACCAGAGCCTAAATGGGAAGCCCAGGAGAAATTCTCTTGATTCAATTCGGAAAGGCTCACCAATGTCTGGACTCTGTACCAACCATCCTGTCATCACTGCTTACCAATCTGGGCGTTGACTCTACAGCTCTTCTGGCGCATTTTTGTGCATCTACTCTTCCATCTCCTATTTATGAAGGCCGGGCCTGACTGGATTGGTTGGCATCGCGTCCCTCCACGTGCATCTACCACAACGGCGAGGCTACCTGTCCTCTTCAACACCCACCAGCTAATAATTATTAAAATCAATTGACTCTAATTAGCCCCCTGTACATCTCCAAATTCACGAACTTACCTCACCCACCAACTCCCTATAAAACTACTCGTTTGAAAACTATCAGACACAACTGACGCAAAAAACAAAAACAATGTCTCCTGCAGTGCCTCTCTCCGAAATTCAAGTCGAGAATGTCACGTTCCCGCCGGCGGTGAAACCTCCGGCTTCAAATAACACTCTCTTCCTTGGTGGTGCAGGTGCTTGACTAATCCACAAACCCGTTGCTTATGCTAATCAATATCATGTAATCAGTACAGAGGGTTTTTTTTTTTAATCTATTATTAACAACTTGGTTTCGTTTTTTCTATTGCTTTGTGCTAACGTGAGCAGGGGTGAGAGGATTAGAGATTGAAGGCAAGTTCATAAAGTTCACGGCTATAGGAGTGTACTTGGAGGATAACTCCTTGCAGTCACTTGCTGCTAAATGGAAGGGCAAGAGTGCCCAGGAGTTGACGGATTCCGTCGAGTTCTTTAGAGATATTGTTAGAGGTATGTACTTATGCTCTGTCTTAGACGGGATTTCGGCTAAATCTTCGGTTACTTTGTTACAACATGGCAATTTTGATCAGTCAGGCATCTTTGGGAGTGTCCTTGGGATGTTCTTAAAGTATTTTTTTTTAAATATATATTAAAATATTATTTAAAAAAATTAATTTCTTTTACATCAGACATTAAAACTATTAAAAATATAAAATAAATTAATTAAAAACTCAAAAAGTTTTTAAAAATGCAAGTGAACCACAATGCAGTGCCAACCGATACCTTAACATTGCGTTTGACTAATGAATTTGCAACGGTTATTGCTTCCGTAATGAGTATAGTTACTGAAACAGAGATATTTAGTCTGGGTTTCTGGGGCGTGCTTGGGACCTCAATTTTTTTTTTTTTTATATATCTTTATATCAATTTAATATATGATATTAAAAATAATTTTTAAAAAATAAAAAATATTATTTTAATATATTTTTAAATAAAAATTACTTTAACTGCAACGAGATTTCAGCTATTTATTACAAAATTAAAAAAAAATGATAATGATATTTATTTTTTTATTAAAATTATTTTGTTAGATAAAATGATACCACATGATTGATGGTTTAATGTATTCTATTTTTACTTTTATATGTAATAAAATTCATGATTCGTGAATTTAAAACATTTTCATCTAACAAATGACATATCATTTAATAAAAAAATACTTTTGCAAAAAAATTTAAATATCCCTGACGTTGGCCTAATTTAAAATAATAAAAACGTCAGGAATCTCCTTTTCCCCTCCTGATGCCCGACCAGCTAGGTCCATCTATTATGTTTTAACTAGCAATTACGTCTAGCTAATAATTCATTTATCTTGCCTGCAAATAGTTATCGACGTGTGTGGATCAAATACAGAATTTAAGGGCAATTATCAAAGCTTTGCATCAAATAATTTCATGTTTGGGTTACTACTATGATTGGATTTTTACTTCGTGCATTAACATAGTGAAAAGGTAAATAAAAATTACACTGCTATATCTGTTAGTAATTTTAATTCAAATTTAAATTACTGTGAAAACGAGGAGTTTCATTGAAATCTCTAAATATGGAAAATGTTTAGAGATTTTGCAATTATGCATGACCACGAGTATTGGATCTTTCTTGGTCTGAGTTTCTAGTCAATTCATAGCATTGCTGATTTTGCATTTTATCTAAAAATCTAAGTGGTTTTCCTTATACTATATTCAAGGTCCCTTTGAGAAATTCATGCGGGTGACGATGATATTGCCATTAACGGGCCTCCAATTTTCGGAGAAGGTTGCGGAGAATTGTGTTAACATTTGGAAATCTTTGGGAATTTACACTGATGCGGAAGCCAAAGCCATTGAGAAATTTCAACAGGTCTTCAAGGAAGAAACCTTCCCCCCTGGCTCATCTATTCTTTTCACACTATCAACCCATGGATCATTAGCTGTAAGTGTATCATGCTAATTTTTATCATAGCGTAGTGGATACTCGCACGTGTTTACTGGAAAGCTCTTTAATGAAACTCGCTCCTAACTGATGTTTCGTTTTACTCACCCTCTAATTACAGATTAGCTTCTCAAAAGATGGGTCTGTACCAGAAACCGAGAATGCAGTGATCGAGAATAAACTACTTTCAGAGGCTGTGCTAGAGTCAATGATTGGCAAGCACGGTGTGTCTCCTGCAGCAAAACAAAGTTTGGCTACAACATTATCAGAATTGCTGAAAGAAAGTAATGAAAATGGGAACTGAGGCATAACTGTTTTTAGCAAAACCTGGTTACTGTCATAAATAAAGGTTGATTGCCGATGAGCTTGAAGCTCAACCGGCATTCATGCTCGTTTTTCGTTTTTTATGAGATTTAAGGCTCAAGCTTTTCCATTGTAACAAAAATGCATTGTAACGTTTCGCGGCATCTGTAATTTCCTTCCATCTTTTCCAAGGTGGTGTGATTTTTCTTTGTTATATCTGTCTGTTAAGTAGCTGTTTGGTCGGACAAAAACTTGCCTACTCATCTCCTTGGATGTATACTCGTTGATGAAATATTATTGACATATGAGAATATCCAAAGGTCTTAATTAGTTCTAAATCTGAAAAACCAAGAATTGTTTGTAGATTACAAAGTTTAGCTAGAAGTTATTTAACACCACGTCTCCCTGTTAACTCCCACCATATTGGCAAAGAACAAAAACTCTGCATCTGTGTATCATTACCCTCTTCTATGCTCATGGGTAAAATTTTGTGGATTCTTTTGGTTTTCATGGTCCTTCAATTGCAGGCTGCTGCTTCTCAGGGTAACTTCCTCTGCTATAATTTCTTAAGAAAAAACCTTCAATCTATTTTTTTCTTACATAATTAGTATTTGATTGACTCAGAATTCGTTTACATCAACCATCTCGTATTATTTTGTGCTTTAAATTAAAATAAAGTTCATGAACGGACAGATTAGCTGTATATGCCATGAAACTTTAGTTTTAATCGATTATCAGATTCCCTGGACTATGTTGGCTGGTGGATCGACTGTGGCAGTGAAGTAACCCGAGTTGGTCCTAACATGACCATGTGGGACACGGATGAAGACTTCACTCGATCAGGCATCAACAAACTTGTCCTCGATCTGCAGCCACTTGACGAGATGAACACTCTCCGAGTCTTCCCTGACCAGACGGACCAGAATTGTTATACATTTCCCACGGCCATGTTTCCGCACAAAACTCTGCGATACGTGATCCGAGCCGGGTTCTACTATGGCAACTATGATGGACTCTCAAATCCTCCAACATTTGAACTTCACCTGAACGGCGGAAAATGGGCTACGGTTAATACAGCTTTAAGAAATGGGCCCGTTTATCACGAGATTGTGTACAGTTTACAGAAATCAGCGATTCTTACGGTGTGCTTGGTGCAAACAAGAGATGGAGAGGTCCCTTTTATCTCTACCTTGGAGTTTATGCCACTGCCAGATGTTCTGTACCCACATTTGGATCCTGATATCTCGTTCACTCTTCTCTGGAGAGCCAACTTGGGTGGTGGCGAAGTCAGGTATGTAGTTTTCTTGCTTTTTATTTTTCTGTTATTGGTGCAAAGGGACAAATAATTAAAGCAGAGCTAGGGCCTCGATAAGGTAGTTTTCTTGCTATTATCAGCCTATTCGGGCCATAGTTTTGAAATATAGTCTCAGTTGATTGGTGGGTTGGTTTGAAATCTAATAAATTTAGGGTTAAAATCAGGACAGTTTAAAAAAATTAAAAAAGAAAATTAGATTGATGTAAAAAATATGATCAAACACGATCAGAAATCTGATTATAACTTATTAGTTTTTTTAACTAAAATAATATTATTTTAATAAAAAAATTAAAATTAATCTAATTAAAATTTAAAACTTGAATCTTGAACCAGGTTGGGTTTAAAAAATCTAATTATGTCATTGAAAATAAAAATTTATTAAAAAAAATCTATTAAAAAAAAATCAAAGAAGTCTACAACTGACTTGACAAAATTATTGACACTAACCGAGACCAGAACAAGATTATAGAGCTTCGAGTAAAACTTCAATAGTTTATTACTACGTACAAACATGTGTAATCGCTTTTCCATATAACAAATCATTAACAATGGGTGTATATTTTTGATTCACAATACTAGTGGAAGTTGGACCTCATACACAAGAGCATCGATCATTCTCATTCTTAATATCCCGATTAATTGCAAGGTGCTTTTAAAGCAAGAAGGTTTATAGTTATAAAACCTACCCTGGTGGATCCGAGATTCAATTGACCTGCTTTTGACCTGTGTTGAGTTTTCAAAAAATCAATTAGGAATCAATTCAGTTTGGTTTTGTATATACAATCAAAACTCGATTTAAATTTTAATTTTTTAAAACGATACCACTTTAATTTTTTCCTGGACAATTGAAATAAATTGAAACAAATTGAAACGAGTTAACTTCGGCTCGTCTAACCCGTAAGCTGTATCTATGTATATATTCCTTGCATTTTCTCTGTGAACCTGCATTCCTTTTATATTCTTTGTCTATTGATGTCAATTATATTGGAATTTGGATAACACTTTAATAAAAAAATTGAAATAAAATGATTTTAATTTAAAAAATTAAGTTATCAGAGAGAATTTAAAGATATTATTTAAAAACAAATATTGTTTGCGTGGAACGCAGGTACGCGGGCCTTATCACAGATGAATTCTACAACAGAATATGGACACGTGGAGTCACTCCGTCAAACTGTATTCAAGTCACTACGCTGCCAGATTCTAACATTCTCGGCGTAGAAAATGACCCTCCTGTTCCGGTGTTGCGAGAGTCCATCGTATCCAATACTTCTGATCCAATTACCTTGACCGTTGATCTTCCAACGGCGACCCCACAATCTGCTCATTTTGCGTTTTACTTTACGGAATTGGCAAGCAGGCCCTTATTAAATGACACGAGGATCATTGATATTAACATCGACGGTCAGATGATGCAGGCAGTGGAAGCAGAGATGAACAAATGCAAGGTGGTCACATTATATCCTGCGATTGTTTCCGGCCCCACGATCAATATCACACTAGCTGCCAATGAGTCGTCTACCTTGCCACCGATGATCACTGCCGTTGAAGTGTTCACCAAGAATGATCTTGCGCCAGTTGAAGGAAAAGATAATAGCACTAATGAACAGAAGCATTTGTCTTTATCACACTTCCTTTCGATTAGTGTCTTCTGCTTAGTTGTCTCCTTTATGGCATGAGAGAGACAGGAGTGATGTGATCTGATTTTGAAAGGTTGCAAGGCCTTTATTTTAGATTCATTCGTTTCAGTACAGAACACACGAATTTTTTTTTTAAAATAGAGTAATTGCAGTTTTTTTTAATAAAAAAATTTGAATCATAAAAATGAAAACAAGAATTTCCCAGTCAAGTATAATATTAGGATTGTATCTAGTTAGTGTTATGGATTTGATTTTTTTTATGAATTAAATATAAAAACTCTTTTTTTAGTCGATAATATAACTTTTTAAATGATATTTTAAATTTAAATAAAATATTAAAGTAGTTATTATAAGTTGTGGTTTTGATTTTCTATGGCAATTGCTGTAATCTTGATGTTTTTTTAAAAAAAAGAAAATTCATATTCATTCTCAATAAATATGAAGAAAAATCAAAGCTAAATCCAATTATAATTTTAAATTTAAATTTAAATGATATTTTATTTTAAGAACACCTTTTTAAATTCATATTCATTCTCAATTATATTTATTTTTAAATTTAAATGATTTTTTTAAGAACACCTTTTTTTTATTTTTCCACGAAAAAAAACTAAAAAATGAATTAAAGATGAAGAAAATGATTTTTCTATTAGTAAACACACCCTCGATTTCTGCTAAATCCAATTATAGTTTTTTCCGTGTTATAATTCTAGATCTTGACTAGAAGTGTCATATAGCCACATATATATGCTCTCTGTTTTTCTTGCCTAAATTTTGATTTAATACGAGAGGATTGCTTCGGTAGCCAACAAAAATCTATCATTTTCCTGGAAATATTTTCCTTCTAAATGCACTAGATCGGCATGAGAGGTGTATTTTTTAATTATAATTTTAATTAATATGTAAATATTTTTTTAAAAAAAACTAACAGATAGTTTAAAGTCCACTGGACTTCTCCATCAGAAAAAAAAATAAAAAAATATATATATATATATATAAGATTTAACTCCGAGCTGAGAACTGATACCTCGAGAACAAAATTTCTCTCGAATCCAAAATAAATTCCGAAGTGCAGGCTGGATTAGTAGCACGTGTTGTATGAACAAGAAGGCTATCAACTCCAAAGTGTGTTGTATTAATAAGCAAGCAATAAGTTCAAATCATATAAAATACAATATTGGAAGCGACTAATTGCGAATTCTATCGTTTGATAAAAGATGGCTCGCTTCCCGAACACAAAATTTTTTATGACAAGACCTGAAAAACAAAATGCTTGATACTCGACATCCAGCTCACTTGACTTTATTAAAGTAAAAGCAGATCTTGATATGATTACCAAACCAACGGTGGATAATCCAGTGGTGGATACTTCATCCCATGCACCCTGTTTGCTTCTGATTTCCGCCATCAGCGCATGGTGCTGGCTGTTGCAGAGAACGCGTTTACACGTCTTGTAACGACAAAGAAGGGGGCAAGAACATAATGTAAAGTCTCGATTGATTTTATATATATATAAAAAATCCTTGATTGATTGTATTCTCTCCGCCAGCCTTTTTCACGAAGCTTCTCCCTCTTCCTCACTCTTCCATTAATTAATTAATTGAAGTGCGCAATTTTTATTTTTATTTGAAAAATAACACAGCTCCGGAAGAGTGGTGTGGATTGAAAAAATATTTAGAAAAAAATATTAATTCAAACACGAATGTTTTTAGTTGTGTTTAAATATTATTTTTGTGTATGATTGTTATTGCTAGTAGCTGTTGTGTATTCATGTTTTAGGATGTATTTTTTTTATAAATTAACTAACTCAAATAAGAGTTAACTTGAAATTTCATGAAAATCTAACGATCAAGAAAAAAAATAAAAATTAAATGATATGATATAATAGAAAAGAGAAATGAGAGAGGTAAAAACATTGATTAATAGGAATATATCAAAAATTAATTTTTAATATATTTAATATTGTTAAAAAGATTTTGATAAGATAATTGAAACAATACCTTAAAAAACCACTGGATGGATTCGTAACTGATTTGAAGTTTTGTCATGGTTGATTATAAACTCATTTGATGATTTTTCAATGTGTTATTGTAATTATTTTATTGAATTTTTTTTAATAATATCAAGTACATAAAAACAGAGCTTTTATGTATTCTTGATAACTTGTTTTTTCTTTAATATCACATCACCTTATCTCCTCTCTATTTCATGTTAAATCTCATTTATTGAGTAACTAATCTTTATAAATTTTGGAATTAACTTTTACATAAATATTATTTTTGTATATAATCATTATATATTTGCTAATTAATTTGCTAATCAATGTGTTTAAATATTATTTTTGTATATAATCATTATTACTGGTAGTTGTTGTTTGGCCATGTTTTCATATGCATGTTTTTTGTAAATTAATTGACCTAAACAAAAGCTAACTCAAATTTCATGAAGATCTAATGAGATTTAAAATCTAGTGATAAAGGAAGAAAGATAAGATAAATTGATATGGCAGGAAAAAAGAAACGAGAGAAGAAAGAAATAAATAAATAACAAGCTACGGCGACATGTCAAGATTCTGTTTTTATTAAACATAATATTATTAAAAAGATTTTGATGGGATAATTATAACAATACATTGAAAAACCACTGGACGAGATTGTGATCAGTTCAAAGTTTTATTCATTGTTAATTATGAACTTGTTTTATGATTTCTTAGTGTGTTGTTATAATCTTAATATTCTTTTGACGACATCAAATATATGAAAACAAAACCGTGATATATTCTTAATAGCTCATTTTTTTTACTTGTTTCCTTCTTATACCACACCATCTTATTTTCTTTTTATTTCATACTGAATTTTATTGACAGAGCAATTGATATTTATAAAATTTGAGATTAACTTCTATAATTGTTAATTAATTTGTACGACAAATGATTTTTCAAGTAACTGCTATAACAAAAAAACAGTCGTGTTCAAATGTTATGTTTAATAGCAGCTATATTAAGATTAAAAAAAGAAAAAAAAAGAAAAAAAGATTATACTACTTTTTAAACCCGCGTTAGTTTTTAAATTTTAACATTAAATCGTTCGAGAATGATAAAAGACCCCAAGAAACAAAACCAGGGCCTGCTCATGCTCAGTCTTCACCTAGGACTAACCAATACACATGTCAATCCACGAGAAATATTAACATACCATTACTTTCTTTTGACATGCTTGAACTGCAAAACACAATTGTGGCAAACTCAAACCTTAAAAACCGATCATCCTAGGTACAACACATCGGTAAGAAAATTGTTTTGAAATTGATTGAAGCCGTGGACAAAGAAAAGGACCACGATAGAAAATGGGGTTTCACATTTTCCTGGAAAAAAACATTACTCTCCTCTTAAAGATCCCAGGTTTTTTTTTTTTTTTCCCAGCCGTTTCACACACCAGAACTAAACTTCTTTCTCCCAAGTTCTTAGCCATCACACAAATTATTCATATTCGGATTAGTCTTTTTAATTGAATTGTTTCCAACTTTTCATCAAATTCGAATCCAAAACAATAATAATATAAATAAACTCACCTATCACCTAGTACTATTAAAATCTTAATTGCTGTCTAATTACCGAAAAATGTTATTCCACAAAGACAGGGCAAGAATCCGAAACCATCGTGCTAACATCGGATAATGGTATTCTCATACCATACTAATGTTTCAGTGAGTATGCATGGTTTAAGTACAGCAATAGCAAGCCCAGAGTTGGAATCACAGTCTAATCTAACGTGCAAATCCTCCGCACTGTCTCTGTCACTCAAGAAATATGTGATACATGTACACTATCAGAACCTAAAAGTACAATTACCTTTTATCCACTCACTCGGAGAAGCGCAACCACCACCAACATTAGCTGTCTTCCTCATTTCTCCTTTTATATATCTTGTCTACTCCTCTCACCCACTCTGACCCTCTCACCCACTCTATCATCTTTTCTTTGAGTTCTTTTTTCCTTCTTTTCCTCTTAGTTCTATGAATTTGTCAAAACGAACGTTTGCTAAATGAAAAAACAAACATTTCTTTTTGGATTGCTGTCAAATTAGTTAAATGATGCCGGACTGCAACGTGTTGCTGCATAACATGCCACCTTTGTTTACAAGTTGAGGAAGCCAATTACATGACTGGGGATTTTCGTAGCTTTTCAAGTATCTGGTTTGGTGTTTGTTATATACAGTGAACTTGAAGGTGACCAATTTTTCCACTCTGTTCCAGTCTTGATTTTTTCTTTCTTTTTTATCATCCGGGGCTTGTTGATATTTTAAGGAGGTAATTATCCAGGTATCAACCAACATCACTGTCACACTTTTCTCCCTGTAATCGTCCGAGGTTTGTCACTACTGTTTTCAATTCTTTCACGATCAGCATTAAAGTGTCAGCTTTGGTTGTGATATTGGAATCTTTTCTTTTCTTTCCCATTCCTGTTTCTATAATAGTCTCAGTTCTGCCATTTTTGTTATTTTCATCTCAGCTCTGACTATTCTTTTGTTACCAATCCAGCTTCAAAAGTTCTATTGAGTTTGTTAATCTGATTTTTTCTCCAAGTTCTTATCTTTCTCCGTGGTTCTTAATCATGGCGACTATCTACAGTTGTGAATTGCTCATCTTGATTGGTTCAATTCTGTGTCTAGCATGTGTTTCATTAGAATATGTTCCCGAAGATAACTATTTGATAGATTGTGGATCCTCTACAAATAGTTCAGTAGGGGATCGTGTATTTGTAGCTGATCAATCCTATTCCGATGTCCTTTCAACCCCACACAGTATTTCTGCCACCTCTTCAACATATGATTCTGCTCTTTATCAAACTGCAAAAATATTCAATGAGAGCTCTCATTACACCTTTCCAATCAAGAAACCCGGGCGACACTGGATCCGCCTCCATTTCTTTCCCTTTGTGTATAGAAACTACAATTTGAGCACGGCAAAGTTCTCCGTGTCTGCTCAAAATTTCACACTTATTAGAGAATATCGGTTAGAGTCTCCTCCCATTGTTAAGGAATACTCTGTCAATGTAACGTCTGGCAGTCTCGTTCTCACCTTTACTCCCTCTGTCAATTCATTTGCCTTTATTAATGCATTAGAAGTTTTTTCACTCCCTGACGAGCTGATTCCTGCGGGTGCTAGGACCATTAGTAGTCTCCAGGGTAACTACAAAAATATGTGGAAGCAAGCATTAGAGACAGTCGAGAGGGTTAATATGGGCAACCAAATCGTGTTTCCCCACAATGACACCTTGTGGCGACTTTGGGTTTCTGATAATGAATATCTGATACATAATAATCTAGTAACGTTGGTGTCTAATGTCACAGCGGTCAATTTCACTGGAGGAGGGCCGACTGAGAATATTGCTCCCTCTTTGGTCTATGGGACTGCTACTAGATTGAACTCAGACTCTGATCCTAATATCAATGCCAATGTGACATGGCTTTTTGATGTTGATCCTGGTTTTGAGTATCTGGTTCGGTTTCACTTTTGTGATATATTAAGCAATCCTCATCCCAGGCTGTACTTCAATGTGTATATTGGTTCTTGGCTAGTTTATCAAAATCTTGATCTTCTCAAACTCAGATTCTCCTTGGGTGCTCCGTATTTTATGGACGTCATCACCAGAGCAAGTGACACTCGACTGTTAAATGTAAGTGTTGGCCCTTCTAATGTAGGTATCCCTTACCCAAATGCCATTCTTAATGGGCTGGAGATCATGAAAATAAGCAATTCCGAGGATAGCCTCGATGTCTTTGACTCTATATCCTCAAGAAGTTCGAAGGTGAAAGTCATTATTGTTGTAGGCTTGACCGTCGGGTTGTTTATCGTTGTTGTTTTGGCTTTTGTTCTGTTTCTGCTGTGTCGAAGAAGGAAATTAGACCACGCTGACCCCTTGAAAGCAGAAGGCCATTTTCCCACGAGTGGAGGAGGTAACAATCGATACTTCAACGGTGCTAACATCTTTTCCACCTCAAAATTCGGGTACCGCTTCCCTTTCATGGTTATCCAAGAAGCTACAGATAACTTCACTGAGAGTTTGGTTCTTGGGGTTGGTGGTTTTGGAAAGGTTTACAGAGGAGTTCTGAGAGATGAGACAATGGTGGCAGTGAAGAGGGGAACTTCACAATCACAAGGCATTGCAGAATTCCGGACTGAGATTGAAATGTTATCTCAGTTCCGGCACCGGCATCTGGTCTCTTTGATTGGATACTGTGATGAAAGGGATGAGATGATCATAATATATGAGTTCATGCAAAATGGGACTCTGAAGGACCATCTGTATGGCTCAAATCATCCCAGCCTAAGCTGGAGACAGCGGCTTGAGATATGCATTGGAGCAGCTAAAGGACTTCACTATCTCCATACTGGCTCCACAAGGGCTATCATTCACCGCGACGTCAAGTCTGCAAACATACTACTAGATGAGAATTTCATGGCCAAGGTTGCTGATTTTGGGCTTTCTAAGACTGGTCCTGAAATAGATCAGTCGCATGTTAGCACAGCAGTCAAGGGAAGCTTCGGATATCTCGATCCAGAGTACTTGATAAGGCAGCAACTGACGGAGAAATCAGATGTTTACTCATTTGGAGTCGTCATGTTCGAAGTTGTTTGTGGGAGACCTGTTATCGATCCATCAGTTTCAAGAGAAAGGGTTAACTTAGTTGACTGGGCATTGAAGTCTACAAGGGGAGGAAAATTGGAGGAAATTGTAGACCCTCGTCTTGAAGGTCAAATTAAGCCAGACTCATTGAAGAAGTTTGTTGAGATAGCTGAGAAGTGCTTGGCAGAGTGTGGTGCTGATAGACCTTCAATGGGAGATGTCTTGTGGAATCTGGAGTGTTCTCTCCAACTCCAGGGTAATGAAGAGAGATCAAGCAACAATTATCAGATTTCGACACAATTTAATTGTGGAAATAACTTTGAGACCAGAGTATCGGCTAGAGAATACAGCTTGGGAGGTGTAGATGACCTTGATGGTGTTTCAATGAGTAAAGTCTTTGCCCAAATGGTTAGAGAGGAAATGAGGTAGACTGCAGGGAAGCCATGGACTCAAACCTATAGAAAAAAAAGATCCATTTATTGCAGAAAGTCAGGTTTAGAAGAATATACCGTACAGGAAGTGTGGATTAAAACCTGTTGCAAGTAGACTGGTATATTTTGAAAATCAAGTAGCTTGATTTTGTATGTTGTCAAGTGAGTAAATGCATAGCGCATTCCATTAGTCCACCTGTGTCTTTGATTTCATTATTTTCTCTTTCTTGGATGTTGAATGTTCTTCATTGACCCAGGGCTTTCTCTCATGATTTGTAATCTTGTTTTCTACACGAATTTGGTGCTTGATCTCTTACTTCCAGTTTCCACTTCTCACGCAATATATATCATTCTCATCTCTGTTTTGCTTTCTGCTGTGCTTGGTAGTTGATTACCCTCTTATACTTTCAAGCTTGATAGCAAGAAAGAAAAAGAGATGCTCGGGTGCTGAATAGTGGAATCACAGAGCTAAACTAGCCATAACCCAAAAAAAAAAAAAAATTGAATTAAAAAGAAGGACGATGTAGCATACATGAATGACAACTTGGAAGCAAGGAAGGTTGCATGTTTGGCCATGGACTGCGATGGAAGTTTATTGCTGCTTATGAACAGTAATTTTCTCTGCTTACATGAAGGGAAACATCTTCTGTCGCTCAAATTTCTGGAAGAACCTGCTTTAGTTATGCACAACTAACAGGTAGATTGATAGTCGGTCCGCTTAACTTTTACGGGCCAAGCAAACACTGCAAAGAAGAGTTTCAGGATTTATTTTGCTTAGGTGGCAAGGGTCTGAGATGTACCTAATAAGTTTCGAGTTTAAATTAAAATATATTTTTTATAAAAATTTAAAATAATCAAGTTTCGAGTTTAAATTAAAATATATATTTTTATAAAAATTTAAATAATTAAAATTTTACTTATTTATCCAGGTTTATAAAATACACTTTCTAGATAAATAAAGTTTTTTTAAATAAAAAAATATAATTAACAGATCGATTGATAGTCGGTCCACTGAACTTGTACAGGCCAAGCAAACACTGTAGAGAAAAGTTTCAGGATTTATTTTGCGTGTTTTTTTAAAATATTTTTAATTTTAATATATTAATATTAAAATAAATATTAAAAAAATAAATATTATTATTTTAATATATTTATAAATAAAAATTATTTTAAAAAATAATAATAAGGCTATATGCTTCTTAAAGAATGAAATGATTACTTTTGTAAACAATGCAGAAAACGAGTTTCTTTTTTGTTTAAAATGAGTTAAAGTGGTTTTATAAAATATTTTTATATTAAAATAATATTTTTATATTTTTTAAAAATTATTTTTTAAATTAACC